TATGGGGTGTTAATAGTTGCATAGAAATGAGGGTTGCATAGGATGTAGGGGCTGCATAGGATGGGCCGCCCGCTCCTGTCTTCCTGTTTCATTGTGACCTGGACTTCTCCCCGCCTCAGGGTGACGCATGCGAGTTCTTTGTCTATATGACTATGTGGTCCCATGGGGGCGGTGGTTGCTAAGATTCTTTGCTGCCCAGCGTACGTGCTGGTGCTTTTAAGTGTGATGCAAAAAATAAAGCACCAGATAGACCCTAAAACACCGAATCAGGGATTCTTTTTGATGCACACCCATCAGATGTTAGGCACTGAATTTAAATATTTGTGTTTTTTTAGTATTACATGATTTGTAAAGCTGTCAATTAGTTTTGGAGGGATGCTGATGTGATTTATCCCAAGCAGAGGGGGGTTTGTGAGTTTGAAAACGATTGTATTACGGTTTAATGGATGAGTTAAGCAACACCATGTTTTTGGTCTCCCAAAGGTGTGCTCTGTAAAGACTTCGGGCTACAGATAAAACTTCGATGGGAAAACCCATCTTCATTGCAACTTGCAGCCCGTAAGTAGAGTCTGGGCACGCGCCGGGTTTCAGATGGTGAGATATCGTAGCAGTAGTCCTGTGAGCTGCTTCATTTGTGTCCCTTTCTGTGTATTCCAACGCAAAATGCATGTTCGTCGTATCGGGGAATGCGTGTGGTATTTCTGTGATGCCCGCGAAATGGGTCGAGAATAGGCTATGAATTCCTTCACTTCTAAGCCACATTACGGCAGCCCACGCGAGCGTGAAACCTTCTGTGTAGAGCATGGAACGGCCAAGTTCATCTATAAGCACAACACTGCGAGAAGTCGCTACGTTTGATATTTCGGCAAGCTCCATTAGTTCCCTTCTTTGAGAGGAGCACAGCACTGAAGGCAAGTCATCGCAAAGCATATGTGCGAGGATACGGTCCGTAATGAAGAGCTCAACAGACTCTGCTGGGACAAAGCATCCGCATTGAGCTAGTACAAAGATCTGCCCGATCATTCTCAGCAAAAGACTTTTACCAGCGCCGTTAGGCCCTGTAAGAACAACTACGGAGACTTCCGGTGCCCACGTCACGCTGTTTGGCACCAACAACATGTTCCGCGAGGCGCCGCACGAAACAACGGAGGGGTAGTAGGCATTTAAAACACAGAAGGTCACCCCATTTGGATTATTTTCATCCGACTTTGCTGACTCATTGCCATGCGGATTTGTAGTGGTCCCACTTTCCTGATCCCAAAGCAACGGGCGCGAGCCGTGGTTTATCATGGAGTACGTGGCAAAGGAAAGTAGCATATCCAATAGCGCTACGGCCTCTGTGAGGGCCTGAATGCGGCCCAAATTAGTCTGAAGCACAGTCAACAACCCCTGCGCAGCCTGAACCTCCTTCTCAAAAATGTCGCTGCTCCAGCGAATCGCGGCATGACAGAGTGCTGTGAGTTCACTGGTCGTGCAATACACCCTTGGAGGCTTTCGCTTGCGGTGGGCTTCGCTTGTTCTGGGAAGCGGGTTAAGATGTGGAGCAGAAGTTGTCTCCTCGTCACGCCAAGGAGTATCTTCCTCATTTCTCAGGCCACAAAGGGCTTGGAGGTAAAGCTGATAGTGACTACTACCGGCGTATTTGTGAATAAAAGGACCACCGCGTGTCTTAGGCTCTTCTAACCCCAGGTAAGAAAGGCAGAACATGTGGTCGGGGTCCGCTTCCAGCTTCAGGGTGTTGAGTTGGTACCTCAACGCGAGTTGCACTTGGTAGTCGGTTATGCTTTTTATTTGCTGGCAAAGCGCACTACGAGCGACGTCCAAGGCGCTTCCAGGCGGCGCTTGAATGGCAAACCCAATCCGCATAAGCTGAAGTACGTTATGTGAGGTAAAATTTAACCTTCTCGGCCCATAGACGCGGACCTCAGTGTCGCCATAGGGTTCAAACACGGAGGAAGCGCAAGGTTCAGTTGCGTCTGTCCTTTCGTTGGCTGCGGCTCTTCTAGGGATTTGTTCACGTAATTCACGCACTGTGGGGTCCAGGAAGTGGTTGAAAACGACAAGAATTTCGTGTAGAAGACAAGATTCAAGCGTCTGTGCGAGTTGATAAAATAGGAGGGGTCGCATGCTAGAGTTAGGTGCGTTTTTTTCATCATGCACCTCTGTTGAACTCGGCAAAAGGGATCGCAGACAGCGATGGAGTGACTGGAGGGCGTCCAGGGCGTCCCAGAAAGCCAAAAGCGAGACCAGCAACCGCCGGCGGCTTTCGTCAGTTGGATGCGTCGGATTAAGCGCGATTATAGCAGTAATTTTCTCCAAGTCAATTTCAGCTAAATGTTGAAGCTGCTGCAATAGAATTCCGACACGCTTAGGATCAGTTACCAGCCATTCTACTGCATCATGCCGATGCTGAATGGAAATACGGTCTTTAAGAGGCTGCAAAATGCTTGAGCGAAGGAAGCGTCTGCCCATGGCAGTGCGAGGTCGTGGCAGCGCGTCCATGAGGCTTCCTAACTGCAGGCCTGTTGTTGGGCACACTCTCCCGTCGGCAGCATGTTTAGGTGCCCTTCCACTTCCTCTGCCTACTGATGGGTTATTTTGCTGCTGTGGGGGTGGACGGTGGAACGTGGGGCACGACAGAGGTATTCGGCCCACACCTTCACAGGAGCTCGGCGGCAGAATGTGAAGTGAACGTGCCGTAGAACGTGATATATCGGCGAAGTTATCAAGCGAAATACAACGCACCCGAATCGAACCAGGTAGCAGCTGCATGTGTGTGACACCTTCCACGTACAGGACTAGCGCGTTCGCAGATGCTACACTCAAGTAGTGGTCGGTATCCTCAATCGAGAGTGTGGTTTCCTGTGTAGATTTAAGATAATTTAATCGCACCACACCATCTTCTACGTCGAAGTATTTTCTTGGGATGCTTGTGAAGGTGATCTCAGCACCGAATCGTTCAATCAAGAGGCGTGTGAATGGATCGTGAATCGTTGTGCTGGAAAGAAGCACTTCAACCGGGTTTCGAGCGAAGAGTAATGCATTCAGCTTGGAGTAGGAGCAAGTGTCACCGAACTGGGTAATGGATATCGCAAAGGAGGGAAATTCAACAAAAGCGATCCCGATTTCTTTAACATTGTTGTTCAACACAGCAGCAATACTGTAGCCCTCATCATTTTTGGAGTGCGCGATTGTGCCGTTGCTTGTGAGCGAGAAAGCAGTCGCTCCGTGTCGTTTTTTTGCAGTGCTTAATGTTTGAGACTCGTTGTTAATACGCAAGGAGTATCCAGTGGGATGAGTAGGATCAAATGAGTTTTGACGCATCAAGAACTCTGACACTCCCAGATAAAGCGTGAAGAGAGGATAATATAGGAGTCCTGTAATGAGCAAGAGCTTCTATATTTTTATCGTTGGCGTGTGCGAATGAAAGCACTAGACCCTTCTGATGATAAAGCTTTTAATATTTCGGTTTTAAACCATAGAGCAGTAAGAAAGCGCATTGTTTCTGTTGAATTAAAGAATACAATGGTTGCCTAGGCGCGTAATAGCACTCTAGACGTGACACGATGTACATATTTGTAAAGAACGTAGATATTGTTTGGAAAATCTATCTAGACACCCTGTTTTATTTGACGTTAGGCGTGAATCTGAATTAGCTGTGCACCTTTATCTAGCTGTGACACCACTCATGTGATTTTAGGTCAGCAGGACATGTGAGACTTCCATCTAGAGCAACTGAACCCCACAGGCACACATGGTCTGGTGAAGGAGAATATTACATGTGCTTTCCAGAACCTCAAATATGTCAATGAGCGGTAAGCGAGAACCTAAACCCCTCTGATAGTACTCTAAATGATGTTTCGACACACCTACGACGAATCAGTAGAGGTAAGCGTAAAAAAAAGAGCAAAATAATCCTTTACTCCGCCTTCTGGTGATCAATATGATGCGCCCCCTTTCTCTTTGGAGGGGAAGAGGGAGGATTTACTGTTAGCCTACTGATGTCGCATTTATTAAGAAAACAGACACAAAAGGGATAATAGTATGTAGATACGCAAATTTTTTCGAAATAGATCCAATAATAACTGTGCAGCACTGGCATTATGTGACACTTATGCAAAAAAGAATATTACATTAATATAGAAATGGTTCCCATAACATTCAGTTGTATTTTTTTTTGTGTCAATATCAAGCTGCAATTATAAAGAAAAAATTATTAAAAGTTTAAGAGATAACTCGAATCAACACATTTTTCTAAGGTGCGCCACTGAACCATTACTTTCATGAAACTAGAGCCAATATACTGTAAAAACAAGCACAAGTAATATGGGCAAATATTTATAGCAAGTGAATTTGGAAATAAAATGGTCGAGAACTCTCTAATGATTCAAAAAAATATTATACTAGCTAACTTGAATGCGCATAATTCTATCATATTTTGCGATTCAGTCTCAAGTGAAAGACTCTCTTACATGTTAGGCGACTGATGTGGGCCATAGAAGTAGAAAAAAATCACGCCTGATTATCTTTAATTGCACCACGAACAAAAGAATGAGTCTTTATTCACTCCAAGTTCGGTTCTGAATGTCGTTTCATTTACAGAAAACAAGTAAGCAAATAATCTTGAGAGTGCATCAACACAAATACTTAAATAAGACCATGCGCATAACATCCTTATGCGTGTGTATGAGTGTCTTTTCACTCCATACCTTAGCTTTTAAAAACCATTTGCCTGCACGCGAACTGTCGCAGCTACATCCGGAACGGGGTTTGTCGGAAATGATTCATGTACTTCCAGCGCGCTACACGTCCCAAAGCGCGAAATATTAGGACTGTTCTTCGCGTAGCTGACTTGGATAGCGCGGTTAGTAAGCATGCGGTACCTATTGTGCAGCGTGAAAATGGCAGTATCAGCCTCTTGGACAGTCGAGTACGTAACAAAGGCTGCACCACGGCTGCGGTTGCTGTTGTCACGGAGAATGTGAATGTGCTCAACCGTCCCATACGCGCTGAACAGATTGCACATTCGCTCTTCCGTACACTCAAAGGGCAGCTGACCAACGAAAAGCTTTGCAGCAGTGGAGCTGAACTTTGGCCGTGCGTGCTGCGGTTTCTGCTGGAGCAGCAGCATCTGTTGCTTTTGGCTGATTGACGTTGGTACTGAAGACCAGAATGGGCTGTTGTTTTGATTCGCCGGAGTGTTGCGCTGCTGGCTGTTGTTACTTTTCCCACCAGCTTGTTGATGAGTGAAACCACTGCTTCTGTACTGTGTGTAGTGCGAACGGCTGCTACCGTTGTTGTTGTTATTGCCACCCCCACCGTTTGTGTGGGCTAGTCCACCACTATACGGTGCCCAGGGTTTAGCATTGGGACTCAGATTAGTGGCCCTCGTTTTCATTCTGTGCTGTATTTACCCTGTTATTGATAATCCCTTTTGTTAAGAAAAAGATTCGATCCCACTTTTTTTTCCTTTTACTCTATTGCGTTGTCTTAAATGATTTATTAACTATTCCCCAAAGGCAAATTTAGTGTTTGCAACTAAACAGAAGAATCATGCTACTGTTGGAGTAAGTGAGAGGGGATAAGAAATACAACGCATCATCTAAGCGCACCATTGGATGCCACAGATATAACATAATAAAATATTTACTATAAACCTTTGAGGAGGCATTGAGTATCTAAGAGAACACGTGTACTTTTCCCTGCCCCTCATAAACTTAGCAACGATAGGCACGAGTAAATGAAGTTGCATCAATTTATTGACGTTGAAGGTGATATTTAGCGGAAGATTAAAACATTTTCACGCACCCCGGCAAGCAATGTCTCTGCCATTTGCGCTTCTTCCCATGGAACGGTGAGCATCTGGACAGGACTGTTTACCGAGGTTGTGAGTAATTCGTATTTTTACCGTAATGAATTCATCAGGAAAATAATATTCGTTCTTTCGTAGGGCTTTACTTGTTCTCTATTCGATTCTTATCCGGCGTAGACCTTGAATAGTCATACAGGAAAAAGGCTCAAGAAAAATAATCTATGACCTAAAACTAAATGAAGAAATATAAAAGAGATAAAAGGGGGCGAGAGCCAAGAAATTATGCTGGACCCCTATCCAGACTTGACTTCTTGATTCCCTACAAAATAAAAGGAAAAGAGAAAAGGGAGAGAGACAAGAAGTCAAACTGCTGGTAACTGATAACCCAGAAGATCAAGTTCTTGACTCCTCCAAATTGGAATATACGAAACAAATTCTTTATAATCTTGTGCCGTGAAACGCCCTTGAAGTGATGCACTGCCCATGCGCGTGTTTGAATTTCTCAGATGTACCCTAGTAAAACCATAGTGTGATGATTATGTAACCTCATTCCTAACAAAAAAGAACGCGCTAAAAAATATAAAAATAAAAGCCTTTTTCCGGAAAAGTTATCCAAGTCGGATAGGCGTTAACAGTGTTCCGTCGGTGTGTTTCCTCAGAGGCTGTCCTAGCGAATGAGGCCATGTCGAATGCCCTACCAGTACCAGTAGCCAAACCTATATGCCTCCGCCAATAGCGGGAAGTTGTGCAGGAACTTGGTTTCTCCAATTGGATATTAGTCTGCGGCACCACGAAGAGGTGGCCGGCATATACCGTGGCGGTCTTTACCTGAGCAGAAAAAGTTTTGATTTCAGCCGGAGTCCTACGATTGTAACTGCTGTTGCGGTTTGTTAGACTATAAAGTTCAGAAGTGCAGGATTCTATCGGTAATAACTCCGTCCTTTGTATATCGTGTGGAAAGGATTTACTGCGTAAAAACCACAAACATCGAGGTGATAGACACCTCAACGTGTGATCTCCTCGTTTGAGATGCATAAATAGACTGTAAATTTCAGATTTCCTTCCTTCGATGTGTTTTGAATACGTATAAAGTTGTCTTTTTAGTACAGAGTTCATATGCTTTACGATGATAAGCAGAACGCCAAGACTGATAAAATTCATCATGCAAAGATCATGCTCTTTTGACAGACCACAACGGCGCCGTTGCGATAGCTGCGAAGCCTATATGATGGAAGCTATGTCATATTTTCCTTCAACAAGATCACTAGTGACGGACGCACCAGCTCCATCATTCTATTGCCAGTAAATGTCTGGGTTATGGATGGCCTGCCAGTAAAATTTGATTTAGTTTGTTCGAACCCCGCCCAAGTCGAGAGAGGGATCTAATAAAGTGTATCAAAGTGAGAGGCAATAGCGCACACGAAAGCATCTGTACAAGATCGAAAGGATTTACCACCGTAGCTTCGATTTCTAATCTTGTCATGTTTCTGCACTGTGCGTTTTGGGATCATCTCAATAATGAACCGAAGACTGATTGAGGCATTCACAACACACTAGTATAGATGTACACGAGAAAGCAGATGACGAATTCCACCGGAAACAAGTGTGGATGAGGCATGTAAGGCGAAGTAACATCGCGGAGGTTAAGCACCACGCCATTTATTCGTTTTTTCATTTGACTTTTAATATATAGAAATAGGCTATTTATTTACAGTGAAGCTAAATTGACGTACCTATGCAATACAACACCACCACCTCTACCACCATCATGCGAAACCTTAGATGAGTGGCGTTGTAAAAAAGTCAACAAACGTCCCTCGCCAAAAAGAAGTATAAAAAACAGAGTATGTTATAAAATAGTCCAGTAAAACAGTGAATTTCACACAATACAAGAGAATGGAATAGAGGGATATGTGCATTCATAGGCGAAAAACGAGTACCATCTTTTTGACTCTTAATTACCTATTCCGAGAAGTAATATACAATGATTAGGTTATACATTGAAATGACAGGAAAAGACACATTAATCCCGAAAATCTGCTGACGTTACGAAAATTGTAAAGCAACCTATAGCATTTAATGAGAAAAAAGAAAGACTTTAATACTGCGTGTATTGTAAATGATCCTCACCCGAAACTCATACACATTTTCGCTCTAATTGTAGTATACTGCATTGTTTGTATTGATGAAAACACAATAAAAGCCATTGAGTAGGAAGTATAGAACGGGTAAAGCCACAAGTAGTAAAGTCTAGATAATAGAACATGTTTAGGGTAACAAAGACATCCTCCCCGTGGTGGTGGGAGAAAAGGTAAAGTATCATATATAATTATTTATAAATGTTATGCAACAAAAATAAAAATATTATATAAAACAAAAATACTAACTCTCATGTGATGCACATGTATGCGTGCAGCCGCACCTTCAAAGTTGCTGGTCATTACTTAGCTTGAACCATCAGATTTTTCCCATTTCATTTTAACCTTATTTTTCGGAATTGCTGAAAGTGATTATATGTTTACATTAACTAAGCTTGCATGTCATGAGTGTATAGGCAAAGCGTAAAAATAGATTCCACCCAGAAGAAGATATACAACGTACAGACTATCAACAATGACTAACTAAAGGAAACAGAGCAATTAAAGACAGTTAGATATACCCCCCCCCAAAAAAAAAACAGGTGAGTATGGGGATGGATATATGTGCCGGACAGCAAAATTTTTCCCACTATCCTAAAAACATCAAAAAGCAGAGATGTAAATATTAAATATTCAATATTAGGTCTAGTGGAAGGAGTAAAACGGAACTAGTCTGGCAAAATAGAAGAGGAAGTCAATTTAGATTGGTAATTCTTTATTTACCTCAAGACTGGGCATATTATATCGATATGTATGTGTATAGAAAACAAGACTAGTGGGTACTATGACGATGGCCTGACCAGTTTTTTGTGCGCTTTAGCTAACTTTTACTCACCTTTTTGTAATTACGCAAACAAACTAATGGAAAGTTAAATTATAGGTGTTGTCCTCTACATCCACTTTCCCCCCCTTCCCCCCGATCTAAATGATCGGGGCATAACGGGATGGTTTAATTATACAAATTCACTTCTTTTCAAAATTATTCGATTTTATTCTTCCCCAAACGAGGTTAGGGTGAAATCGAGGGAGTTTTGTTGAGAAGTTGACACACTGGCCCTGTAGACATCCATCCCATAACGAATTTCGCCGTTTTGTTTCTTAGTATTCTTCACATATAAAAAGTCGTCACCCACAGCTCTTTTTGATGCATCCAGTGGTGACTTTGGGTAAGACGTTGCGGAGATGAAACTCTCTGAGGTATCCACCTCAGAGGAATCAGGCCCGATAATAAAGCTCTTTGGAAAGGTCTTGATTCCGTCATTTAAATAGCTGAGATGGACGATTCGGGTTCCCGACCTACGCATCCTTTCCTCTGCAGCATCAAGTAGTGCCTCGACATCCACCGGACTCACGAACGACGGAACTTTAACTACACCTTCCCGTGTAGTGAAGAAATTCCCCAAGGTATTACTTTTAAATTCACCTATCGTTCGACACGACTGTGCACCTTTTCCGCTTCTAGAGGAGAATGTTTCTGCCGAATGCGTCGCGGGCGAGCTTGTGATGTGACCATCTTCTTGCCGTATCGGGCTACACGAGATAGAACAGTAAAGTGGAGAAGCATGTGGGGATACTGTTTTTTTATGTTGACAGGTCGTAGTTGTTGCTGTTGCAGCACCAGCCACAGACATCACGATTCCACTACTCCTCAAAATGCGTTCCATCATTCCTTCTTGAGAGCCTGTTGTGGACGAAATGGATTGGTGGTCCAAGGGGAGCATTTCCGGGAATATCAGCGGTAGCGGTTCGATGGGCTGTCCTAACAGGGTTGTCTCCGACTCAATTGATTTTTGATGCCCCGCTAAAGTCCGACCGGTGCTGCTCAAAAGGGATCTCGCGAGCAGTTTATCATAGCCCATCCCCATATCGATTGGTGATACTGCGGAGCACTCCAAATTACACATATTGATGCAGTTTGGGCTGTGCAGTGGATGCCTCGATATGGCGTCCGATTCAAAGGTGTAGCTGTTCCCATTTAATAACAAGCTCTCAGATGGTGTACGATTCCAGCGTGGCAAGGCAACCATGGATGAAGTATCACTCTGGTTGTATCGAGAGACCATAGCCTGAAAGTTTGATATTCCTGCCCACGTTGCCGCAGCTAATGGTAGAGGCGATTCACTAGTTTGGTGTCCATCCTTCAGTAGTGAGGAGTGTAGGGAGAGGTGTGTCAGCGATGTGGTGAGGGAGGAACTAAATACAGGGCCCATGACAACAGCATGACAGCTAGACCAACTAGCATCTGAAGCAAGGAGAGAATTCATGCTGCTGTCATGCTCAAGTCTTATGAGTGGTGAGCTTGGGTGATTTAAGACAGATTCATTTTTATGGGTTGGGTTGCATACCTGCTGATGTGAAGGTACCATGACAAATCCGAAGGTGCATGTGCTGGAGCAATGTCCTCGAAGGGGAATCTGCTGCAGCGCCGCCGAGGTAACTTGTGCTGGACGAGAAGCCACACCTGAGTTCGTACTGAAACGACGCGGTAAGGGCCTCGAATAGAGCTTTTCGTTTTTACCTACACACATTAGTGAATCTTCGCATTGTTTAGCGTTGGAATCAAGATGCTGTTCCGATGCCATTGTGAGAAATCTCGACGATGACGCGTCGGAGCCATGCGGTGAGTTTTGGTACCTGGATAGGCTTGACTCAGACTCACCTGATGATGAGCATGTAGTTGAGCGCATCAAGAGGCTTGTTTCACGCGATAGTCGTTTTCGCGAGAACAAGTCCCGCCATTGGCCCCATGCCAGTGGGGAGGACTCATGTAAGGCGTTGTCATATGGCACACAACACTGCTGTCGACTCGTTGGATAAGATAAAGCAACTGCCTTTGATTTAAGATCGTTCTGTTTTTCTAACACCCGTGCATCGGTGTGCGGGGCAAGTGGGAAAGAATGGTCGGCCAAGGATGGCATTTTGCACACAAGCGAGAGTGAGGTTGAGATGCTCTTTTCATGAGAGAAAGAGTCACCAACTTCTGAGGAAGTGTGTCGAATCTTTTCGCTGTCTGCCGTCCTAGAAGAAGATTTGTGTGGGCGACGTGGAAAGGGCACCAGGAGGTGTCGAGGTGTGTCCGTTAGGGCGTAGTGAGATGTATCCGACACATTGTTTGGATTTGTGGACGCCATGAGACTTCCCTCGTCTTCCTCTTGTGAGGGAGCTATCAAAAAACAACCATCCTGACTGATGATGGTGGGTGTTTCGGCATCACTACCAAAAGGCATCGGAGCGAGCGTCGGTGGCCCCCACCAAGAACGCGATACAAAACGCGAGGTGGTTGGATGAAAAAGGGTAGCATCATCATTAAGATCACTAAATGATTTTGTATTAGTTAACGATGGGCCTACCTTTCGGCCATCGCGTGGCCCTGGTGCAGCTGTATCATGACAAGAAATGGAATCCATGCACGATGCATGTTGCTCGAGTTCATAAGGCACATGTGTGTCTCCAGGTTCATCCAACCTTGGGAAATAATTTTCTGGAAACCATAAAGGTGCTGCACCAGAGGATACAGATCGTATTGAATAGCATGGCATGACACCATTGCCGTAATGTTTTTGTGATCTAGCGAGTGGTGCGATATAGTTAAATCCACCGAGTGCCATACCATGCGCTAGCGTTCGTATCATGTCCTCTGAGCTGACGGAGCTCGGTTGATTATACCCATGACTGCTTGAGAGAGGGATCCAGTTACTTTCGTTAGCACAGCACGCAGAGTTGTAATCAAGCGCACTGCTGGCAGCTTGAGGATCGCGGGGGATAGTAAAATCACTATTCTTGTACCGCTGAGCATCGTAGGTTCTCTTCTCAGGACGTAGAAGACGTTCCCGCCGCCATATTTCTCTAGGAAAGTATGTAGGAAAAGAATGACAGCGACCATTCATGTCTCGGAGTGGATGCGTTAAATTGAGATATTTATCCTTTCCCCTTAATGGTTTGCTGCAAAAGAACGAAGATACACCGTGTCGACTTCTATAATCACTGGAAGCAAGAAAATCTGCCATATCATCGCCTGAGACTGGTAAAAAGCTTGGCATAGGCAAGATATCTGACAAGGTTGATACAGTTTGACTTTCTGGAACTTCAACTCTTAATAGAGAATCTGTAATGGCATTGTAGGCCTCAAGAAGCAATGGCGCTGTTGAAAAAGAGATCTTTCTGCCTAATTCATCGTCCTTCAGGCTTGCTTGATCCGTATCAGCATAGGCTCCAGAAGAAGGATTTGGGTCGTGAGTATTGGATACAAACTTTGAGGTTGCCATTTTGTCACTCCTATCTGTTCCATCACTATTAGAACAGTAGGAGGGATTATGCACATTTTTTGGTGTGGGAAAGTAGCACTTTGTGTGCTGTTCATTCTTTGAATGTGAAGCGTCTGAGCTGAAATGATCTTGCTGACATAAATGAGATGCCAGATAAGTATGGTGCCATTTTGTTTTTCCATTTCGTTTCCACCATGCCAGCAGTGAATTTGATCCTTCAGTACATTCTAGTAACGTATTTTTGGAGTATGTACCAGTACTAGCCATGACAGAGCTGCGTGGATGAGTAAGAAGTAGAACAGTCGCCGCTCCCCCATCTTTTGTTGCGTCCACAGGTGGGCACAAGTCTTGAAACGGTGGCGAAGCACAAAGGATGACATTCGGTGCTTCCTCATGCACAGTTGGTGCTTCATGCTCTACGATGACACCCCCGTCTTTTTGTGAAAAAAGCTCGTTTGAGTCATGCATAACACTCGCGGATGTGCTGGAGACTTCCCGTTTCACAATAGTTCTTGAAAAGCTTTTCGATCCAGGCCACATGTCCATGGATCGCACCTTACCCTTTTCCTTTAATTACTAGGGGGCACCAAGTAAGAATCTTACAGCCTAGCGGTAGGAAAACTACAAAGCCCTTATACATACAAATAAAGATGCTAGTGCATATATATATAGATTTAGATAAACCGAGACAAAGAGAGGCACCTTTATCAATACATATTTGAGTATATGGGTCCGAGGAAAACTAAACAGCAATACCCCGCCATCAAAATCTTCTAAAGCAGTAACCAAACACACACAGAGAAGGCTCAGCATGATATATATATATATATATCCTTTAAAAAATTGGTTTTTTCCTCAGAGTAAAACTTAATTGGAAGTTTGTATTAAAAGAACAGGTCTCAGATTCAGTAAAAAAATTATCTAATCGCACACACATTTTTGTATCAATACTAAGTTACAGAAGCCAATACAAAACTCCTTTACTGTATAATCAATTATGCGATATATCTGTGATTTGTGCACTTAAACTTGACACGATAAACAGAAATGCAGAGTTTTGGAAGCCACCTCTTTTGCCGTAAAATCAAAATGAACTTTAATAAAAATTTGTAAGCTCATATTAACCTCATTTCTTTCTCATTCTTCCAAGCATCAATGCCTTTCACTAATTTACAACCGTTTGGGTAAATATCGAAATACTGTGATAAAGTAGAAATAAAGCAACCCCTTTTCAATTTTAAATGATAAAGTATAAATTACGCAAAATAAAAACATATGATAAAAGAATCAAGTAAATCGTTCACATGCACTCTAATAATGTGGATTCCATATATATATATATATATATACCCGAAAGCCGATATAAAAAAAATTCATCCGGAAAACTTGCTTTGCATGCCTATCCACCTCCGATAATCAATAGTAAAATAGAGCCATTGTATACATACACTTGCTTGGTTGCAACTGAATTTGATTTCACCCAAAGGAATGCAGTCGAAAAAAACATAGTAGGTGAAATCTGTGGCAATTAAATGTGTATAACATGCATATATTTCCTTATATACATTTTTCATCTTTCTGTGTCTGCCTTTAAACAGCTTACCACTTTGAATATTAGAATACAAAGTAGTTTATTCAGTAAATCAGTGGATATGAATATCCGGGAAATAATATACCACAAAGGATAGGAAAAGTATCCCACGCTTCAAAATTACCTTCCTAAAAGACAAATTATACATTGAGATTAAAAATGGCAAAGGATTGTGCCAAAGCCAAGTGTAGCGATATGAATACAAAGCTTTAATCGAAGGTTTTATTCGTGGGTAAGTATATGAGTTTTCTGTATATCTCATTTTACTAGCTAATTAATTATACAACACTTGACAATAGTAAAGAATATACATTTTGGAAGCAATACATGGGTATTTAAAGCGTTTAAAAGCACCCCAAGAGAGACATTGGATACAAAAAGAGTGATGGAAACAAAATGTGAGCATTTTAACTTCAGTACGTTCCCATCTCCCCTTCTAAGATTTCAGATACAACCATTTCGATATATCGCTTGCGTTTAAATACATTTCTGATTTTATTTTATCCAATTCTACGTAAAATCATGTCTGCTTCTCACCTTTCAGAACTGCCTTTGTTGGCACTCGAACCATACGTTGGAGGTGAAATGCATGAGACCCCATATCATCATCTATTCTAGTAGAAGCACGTGACCTACGAGGCAAGTTTTCAGTTTTATTCCTATTACCCAACGATGATGTTTTTAGCATAATTGACTGGTGCGCCTCAAATTTTGTGGTTGGATTGCCTTTGAAATGGTTTTCATTCAAAGAAGCAGAGGTAGCGGTCCCAGAAACACTGTCAATTTTGTTTAAGGACTTCTGATCATTGTCACCCTTCGGAAAGACTTCTATACTCTTACAGTTGGAAAATCCACTTCCCATCTGATAAAATTTATAAAAATTATTAAAAACCGAAGTAATAACAATTTTTAAAATGTACGCGCTATATATAAAATACAAATTTTTTTTGTTGTATTAGTATATATACATAGACAAGATAAAAGCAGAAAGGTAAACAAAGAAAAACAGAAAAGAGAAAAGAATAAAAATGGTATCCTTGTAAGAAAAAAACATACAAAAACAACAAAATCTATGCATATTTAGTAAAAACACTATTAAGAGCAGCACACTA